TGGAGAAAGTCAATGAAACATAAGCGTTCTCACGGGCTTCGCCCTCACCGCTTTGCGGTCTATCTAACTTCTTTCTTATCTCATCTATACGCTTCAAAATGTCTGAACAATTGCTAACATCTTCTACAACAGTTATTTCATCATGAATGACTTTCAAGAACAAGCTCATTTAATATGCAATTAAAATCATCTCAATAATGAGTCCATCCTTTCCATCTTTAGGTAGCACAACATCTTTCATTGAAGAAGGTTCGACAAGTCTTATGTTAAACTTACTGACAAAGTTTGTTATACTATAATGCTTCGGTGGCGAATACATGTAGTTTGAAAGACATAATATAGATTCTTCAGCAAATTCACTTATACTGGATTTTATAACAATGTTCTCACGAGACCAAACGCCACCAATTGACAATCTTGTAAGCAATCCTGCTGAACCTTCAACTGTAAACGTCGATGGTAACATTCCACGAAGGTCATCTATTGACATCTTTGAGTCACTGAATTTAAATATTTTCTTAAAGCAATCGTCATTATCTAACCATGCAATAGCTTTGAAGTTTTCATTCGAATATACATCTGCTTCATTAAATGTAAATCCTGACTTCTTTGCAGAGACGACTTTAAAATCTATTGAGTTTGTTTCAAAATTATATGCTATGGTAACTTCTGAAGGTAATGGATGTCCTTCCGCAGTCAGTTGTTCTCTCACTACCGTTTGAAGCTTTGTATTAAAAACTTTCATGTCATCTCCTGTGTCTAGGTTCACATACACAGCAACAGGGAAACTATCTTGCTTCTTTGTTTCATCATTATATCTCAAAACATTAAAGTTCTTCAATAATATTGTTCTTCCTGCTGGAATACTTCGAACCTGTCTGATTTCAATAGCTTTCTCACCTCCTACATACTCTACCCAGTGTCTTGGATATTCATAAGTATACTGACTTTCTTGAATTTTGGTTGGTTTCATCATAACATGTTCATAGTATATCTTTATACTCTTGTCAGTTAGACTCGGTGCTATGTTCTGAATATTTCTGACTTGCATTTTTAATGGAGATAAAATGAAGCATTTAATACATGATGTAGATGAAGACATGAATGAAACTACAGACAAACATAACTCTTCTCTCATTCTTCCTTTCAGTAAGGACTATGAGTTCTGTTCAAATGGTGTTTATTTCTATTGTGGAAAGATGGGTTCAGGTAAGACATTTAACCTCATTCGTCATATACTCATAACAGAGCGTTTAGGAAACGACTCTTACTATGACCAAATCATTATATCAGCAACTTCAGACTCTATGGATTCAACAGCGAAAACATTTATGTCAAAAGTTCAAGCCTCTGTCGTTAAAGTTCCAGACAGTGAACTCATTGAATTTCTTCAACGTTACATTCGACGTAAGAGAAAATATTATGCTATTGTAGAGTTCATACAGTCAGGAATGCAAAAGACTTCTGAGGAGATGGAAAGAATTATTGACAAACACCACTTACGTCAGTACTCAGGAGTTTACGATATGAAACGACTGACAAACTACATTCTGTCAAAACTTTCAAAATACCCCTTCAAAAAGTATCCTTCAAATACTCTGCTCGTTTGTGACGACTTCGCCGGAAAAGGTTTAGTGTCAAAGCCTGACTCACCATTAGCTAACATCATAACTAAAGTCAGACATTACCATTTAACTGTAGCAATACTTATGCAAACATGGAGGTTTTTAGCTTTAAACATAAAACGTCTCATAACTGACTTCGTTATCTTTCAAGGTTTCTCACGTTATGATATTGAACTCATTTGGAAACAGTCAGGTATAACATTACCTTTTGAAGAAATTTGGGAAGCATATAAGTCTCTCATCTCTCCTCGTTCATACCTTGAGATTCATATCATGACTAATACCATTAAAGTCAAAAATATTCCATGGGAACGACCAACATTGTTTTAAAGTTTAACCTTCAATTGACTGATGGTAAACAAATTCCATGCATCTCTGTCGCCATTTCTGTTAATATTTTTGCTGTCATTCATATCATCCACTTCCCCATCCGTTAGCTTTTGAGGATATGGGTTAGAATAGCTGTTCTTAAATGAAGGCTTTTCACCTTTGAGAGCATAAACTCTATAACTTTCTGCATACTTTATGTTTGAACCTCCTGAGCCATCATTGACATAAATTTTTATAGGCTTCCACCCTTTGTTCATGTTCCTGCTTCTTCCCTTTGCTCTTTTGTTCAGTAGTTCTACATCTTTATACACAGCTCCTGTCTCAGTGAATTCAACAATATTTTCATTCGTTAGCTTTACATTCAAACCCTTGTCGAGTATATTGTTCATTTCATACATATAAAAGGTTTTTATTCTATATGAAATGAGAAGCAAATCCATCTTAGCTGGTGCCGTTAATGTTCCAATTGAACCAACATCAAATGTTGACTCACGAACGACAAACAATATTGTCATAAAGAACTATAGTTCGGAGTGTTTGAAAGAAAAAGAACCAGATCTTAAGTCGTGAATTTAAACACAGCTTCAAACGCTAACGCTACATCAGATGTTAAGTTAGAGTATCCACCACTGGACCAAGTTCTTTCAAGAGAAGCCAACGACAACCCTTACACAAATGTTCAAACAAATCCTTCAGATAACGTAGACCATTACCTTCTTCAGTTATACCAAACAATTTTACTCAAAGACGATAAGAAGCTTTTGACAAATCTTATAAGTAAGAACCAAATAATTCTAACAAAGGAGGACCTTGAAAATGTTATATCACGAATAACAGGAAAGCAATGTGTCATTGACTATCTCGACCCTGAAATCGAATGCTGTGGTCAAACTCCACTATTCATGAAAATAGGTAACATCCGCATCATTGAAACACCAGGAACTACAGGAGTTGAGTTTAAGTATAAATATTCGAACGAGTATACAAAACTATCTACTGACTATAAGCTTTGTTTGAAATATGTTTTAGTAAATTAAAGCAACTTATAGTATCTATCCAAAACTTCTTCAACAGTATCGAACTCATCTTCATAATGCAAACCTAATCTTATTGACTTGGTGCAGTTTTCACTAACACAATATTTTTCTGTTCTCTTGACTGACATAACTAACTCATTTGTTTCATCAAACAGCAACAACCAAAGTTCATGACCTAATACATAACATTCATACTTTATATTTTTAGCTCTGAGTTCTCTTGTAAGCTGTTGCATTTAATATTTTCTAAAAAGTCAACTTCAACAGTCATTCGCACTGGTGCCTTCAGTTCTACAGGCTCTCCTTGAAAGTCAACAAGTCTGAATTGCATGTCTTTCAAATTATGAGGACTAATGCGAACCCATTTACCTAAATGAGTTACTATGACAGGAACGTTTGGAATGAACATTGAATTTACTTCATAACAGAAATTATATTCTACTGAACCTTTACTATTAACTCCTGAAATACCTGTGACATTAGCTATTTTTGACTCAACGTACAAACAATTGCCATAACATACGTATGGAACAGATTTCATCTCAATCGTTTTGTCAACACTTTTCAAAGGAAATGTCATATGGTATGCTCCCAAAAGAAGTTGTACTCTATGACTCATTCTTGGTATCTTAAACTCCTTCGCATAACTGAACTTCAAAACTCCTGCAATAAGTTTAACATTCATTAAGTTTTCTCCGTTATCCTTGTTTATTGTAGTATTTATGAGAGCATTTAACACTCCAGCTAATGTTTCCATCTTATATTCTACATTATTGTGAAATCTTATTTCGTGCTTCTTTCCATCTATTTCAAGCTCCATGAAATCTGTTTCGTCAGTTATAACGAATGAAGCAATAGTATTAAAGTCAACCATTCTGAATGCAAGTGCTCATTCTGTAGACCTAAGTTTGTTTGTAGTTTTACTGTCCCGTATTCGTTTGGGTCTGTACTTTGCAAATAGAACAACATTTTATTCTCATTAAAATATGAGTATAGCTGCATATGCGTATGAAGCTGACAGAGCTAAACGTTTATATTTTGGTCAATACTCTCTCACACTTACTGACAAATATATTGTTATTTCTGATGGAAATACTGAGAAATACATAACATGGAAGGACTATGAAAAGTTTGACCCCATTTTAACTCCATGCACTATGCCATTCATTGTAAATGGTGAAGTTGTCATGAAGAACGACACAACAGTATATAAGTCTGTTCATGAAGCGTTAGAATATATGTTGAATTATAATCCCGAAAGATTTGACCCAAGCACTACACCATGTGCAATGCCTTTTATTAAGGACGGTGTGAAATCGTAAGGGCTCCGAATTCAACGGTTTATTACTGCTTTCAAAACAGTTTACAAAACATTTTAGCGAATATCTTTAATTCAGAAACTACAGAAATAAAATTACCGTATAAACAGATGCTAAAGAAATTAAATCAAAAACAACAACATTATTTACGTCACTTAATGATTTAATGACTTATATCATTATATATTCCTGCACCAACTATAGCATTTGATCCCAAACTCGACGGTTTGCAGTGTACCTTTCATAAATGACAGTTCATTAATTACTTTTAAGGGATTCGACAGTAAATGAATCATTAAAGGCGTCATTAATGAAAATCATTGATTTTAATTCATTCACGAATACATATAATTCATTCATTAATGTTCAATATGCTTCTAAAGAAGGTGAGCCAAAAAACTATCAATAAAGCGGTGTATAAAAAAAGCATCAACGACGAAATGAATTCGTTAACTTTGACGGTGATAGTTTCGTTAATGACATAACATCGGGGAAAACAATTTTAACGAAAGAATACTTAAAATCTCATGTTAGTGAGTTCGTTGAAATTGAAAAAGAAGTGTGGAATTAAGTTCGATCCACTGAATTTCATTTTTCAGCTTAGCGAATGCGGTGTTAGTTTCGCTGAATGGACAACTATACAGAGTGAAATAAATGCAATATGGACGTTTTTGGGGTCAAAAGCGGGAATGGGTGAGCTTGTAAATGCTGCAAGAACATTAGGTGAAACAGGAAATTTTGTAGATGGTTTTAAAAGACTTGTTTCAAATGTTTTAACAAACACAAAGAAATTATTTAGATATACCGTACATAACGGACGGATTTTCGAACAGGTAGCAACAAACCCTCCGGTTATGACTGCGTTGATGATGGTTAGAGATATAAAACCACGTAACGACGGGAACGAAGAACATGAACAACAGGATACTGGTCGGGTTATTCGAGACATTAAAAACGTGTATCCTGAAGTTATTGATTTATTTAGAGGAGTTAATGATTCAATTTCAAAACATTCTATAACCCTCGATGAAGAGAATAAATTAACAGATTATATATTCGTCATTATTGCAGAATTAATGAAGAGAATAAATGAAAAAGGAATTGGCGATATCATTAATGTCAGCGATGTAATGATGAAAAGAAATTTTGACTCATTATTTACAAAACCGAAAACAGAATATAGTCTTTATGACGTAATTACCGAATTAATGAAAAAGATTAATGATAATAAGAGTTCTGGCGGAAGAGTTGAATTAGAAGTGAATGAGATAGAAGAGAAATTAGATAGTAAGGCAGATAAAAACCATGTTCATTATATAACTTCAGACGAACAGATTATAACGGACTACCATGGATATTTAACACGAAGTGATGAAGTGAAGACGGAAGATGTTAATGAAAGAAGATATAAATACATTCGTGCTAAAGGTTATGACATAAGCTGTACTGTACAGTATGACACAGGTAAAGCACCAGAAGCATTTGGTTATAACGATGAAATTTATGCTTCTAGTTTCTCTGTTAACGGTGTATTAGTTGAACCAAGATTTACTTTGAGAGTTAAGACAAAATAACCGTTGAAGATGCTATTAAAAGTAAAGCTGACAAAGATGAACTTGACGCAACGAACAAAGTTTTGAAATCTCATAAACACAATATCTCCGATATAAATGAACTTCAAGCTACATTAAATAGTAAAGCTGACAAAAACCATACACATGAATCCTTCACTACTGTTAGAGCAGACGACATAATATTGAACTTTGACCTTGGTTCAAGTGCACCTTTAGAGAATCCAAGCACTAGTGTAAAAGACACGCTTAACAGTTTAGATAACAGTTGCAGGAACATTGAAGGTCATGCCAGAAACTTTGAAGCACATGAACTACCAGCAATGTTAGATAAGAAAGCAGACAAAAACCATACAATAACTCTTCTCAACTGTTGCTATAGAAAGTATTGAAGGAACGGTTGGCGGAACTGGTGGGAATGCATTATATTGTAAACCTCCTAACTTTCCACAAGGTTTAACATCGAATGAAACATAACAACGAAGAAAGAAATTAGCTGTAAAAATGTTTATGTCATGGATGATGAAAATAATGTTAAATTCACTGCTCAAGATTTATATGATAATAAAGCTGACAAGAACCATACACATAAATCCTTCACTACTGTTAGAGCAGACGACATAATATTGAACTTTGACCTTGGTTCAAGTGCACCTTTAGAAAATCCAAGTACAAGCGTAAAAGATACTCTTAACAGTTTAGATAACAGTTGCAGGAATATCGAAGATCATGCCAGAAACTTTGAAGCACATGAACTACCAACAATGTTAGATAAGAAAGCTGACAAAACAGAGCTTCAAACATTAAAGACTGAAATACTTCAAACATTATATCCTATAGGCTCTATTTATACGTCAATGAACTCAACAAATCCAGCAAGTGTTTTAGGTTTTGGTACGTGGGAACAGATTGTAGATAAATTCCTCTATTGTGCGAACTCTTCAAAGCAAACAGGTGGTTCGAAGAAAATTAAAGAAGCAAACCTTCCACCGCACACTCATACAGGAACTACAAACTTTTCTGGTGACCATAGTCACTCATTAAGAGACCATCCATTATACAACTCAGAATATTATGCTGGCAATGACGTTTTATCTCCAGATTATAACCATACAGCAAAAAAGACTTTTCGACCAACTGAACCAGGAGGAAATCATTCACACACTTTCACAACAAATTCAACAGGCTCGGATGAAGATTATATGCCACCATTTGTGACTGTATTCGCATGGTACCGCGTTCAATGAACGCGCTTGAGCCTAGAATAAAATCTTTAACTTTACATAAATGAGCTTGAAAGAAGTATTCGAACAACATCCATGGAGGTCATTTAAGAAGTTCAATGAAGCAGCAAAAAGTTGGGGATTTACTAACAGAGCTGATGTGAAAAAGTTCTTTGACAAAAATGTTGTACATCAAACAAAAATAAACCCTTACGACTACTTTTTACCAATTTACTCCAACACTCCTGACGCATACCAATTTGACACTCTCATTCAAAGCAGAAAAGGAGGACATAAACCATTCCTCATCTTCATTAATGTTAACACTCGTAAAGCATATGCATATCCAATGAGGAATAAAGGAACTCGTGAAGTGTTAAGAGTTTTACAAAAGTTTGTAGCAGAACATAGCCCAAGTACTTTAACATCAGACCAAGACAGTGCATACCTCAGCAATGAAATCACAGAATTTCTCATTAAGCATAACATAACTCACTACACTACTGAAGACCATAACCATAACATACTCGGCATCATAAACCGCTTCATAAGGACTCTCAGAGATTTAAATCAAGAGCGAGACTTTACCGAAGAAACAATGAAACATTTTCTCGAAGTATATAATTCCTCAACACATTCTACAACAGGACATACACCAAATTCAATGACACAACAACAAGAAGAAAAGTATATACAAAAGAAACAAAGTCAAACACAAAATATCAGAAATTCAACACAATTTACTCTCATTCCTGGTACAAAAGTTCGTGTAGTTCTTGACGACAAACCGTTGACAAAGAAACGTTTAAGGTTAAGTTGAAATTATTATATCGTAGACTCTACGCAAGGTAATGGATATCTTATAAAAGCTGCTGACGACTCCATAGCATTTTACTCTCGTCATAAATTAGTCGAAAGTAGTAATGGCAAACTTGCTGAAACCATTGACGAAGCAAAGCGAGGAGTGGTTATTGAAATACTTGGCTATAACATAAACGATGACACTTATAAAGTAAGATATGAAGGAGGCGTTGAAGATGTTATACCATCTAAGAACTTGAGAGAATCTAAACCAACTCATCTGGGTCCATTAGAGCGGGAGTACTGGAAAGATAAAAACATGCCAGAAAGAATAAGAAAATTCTTCTAAACTTTTTCGTTGGATGTAAATCAGACAAAAATATATTTTAGGTGAAGAGGTGAGATTTCACCTGTTTTCTCACCTGTTTTTTTCACCTCCTTTTTCACCTGTTTTCTCACCTCCTTTCTCACCTGTTTTTTTCACCCTCACCGCTTAGCGGCTCAGATTGCTTTAGCTTTCTCGTGAATTTTCATGAATTTCCTTAAGATAGAAAAAATAAAGTTAGTTTTTATAAAATATTTTTTTATCTTGTATGTAAGAACAGTAATGTTAAAGGTTGAGTTTGAAACAGTTAGAAAGATAGACAATGACACCAAAGTGGTTAGAATAGGTGATTTAAACGTAAGATACTCAAAGAAATACAACAAATATTCTTTGTCAGACATTATATCTCCATCTGAAAAGAAAACAAACCATTGGGTTAGAAATGCTTCAACTCAGAAAATTTTGACAAGAAATCCTGAGCTTATGATATCGGTAAGATTCTATGGAACTACAGCATATCTCATTGACAAAGGTCTTATACCAATAGTTTTGTTATGGATTGACCCAGTTGTTGGATATAACTTCATAACTTATGGTTCATTCGACTCAGAACGTTGCAGTGAAGGCTTACTTTATATCGTTCAGAAACCGAAGGACTTCAATACAAAGAGATATAAGATAGGAAGAACATATAATATAACTCAAAGATATGACAGTACAGTCAATAGAGTCAAGGTTGTGTTCGTTAATGATATGAGAGCTGCAGAAACAGAACTACTTGAAAAGTTTGAGAAAATGTATGGTGCTCCCATGAAAGGTAAAGAAACTTTCGAAGTAGATGAGATAGATAAAGCTATAAAATTATTTGACGAAGTTGCTGAAAAATACATGTAAAGCGTTTATTTTTGGTCTTTTGTGAAAGTCAGAAAATAAAGTTAGTTTTTTATAAAATATTTTTTTTATCCGGAATATAAAGACAGATATGTCAACAACAGAGAACACAACAACAGTTATAGTCCATGAAGCCATAAATGAAGAATACGAATACATACAATATAACAAACAACTTCGCCTCATTCGTTCGGTCAAAGATGACATGTACCAAATGCAAAGTATAATGAATGCTCTTCGTTCTACAAAGCAAGCATATCATTGGTTTGAAAACCAACAGACAAAAGAACTTTTAGAAGAATTTCCTCATATGATTGCTTCCCTCGGAAAACCGAGGAAGAGATTCCATTCGAAAATCGCAAGAATTTGGCTCCTTGTTTGAAAGGTTATTATGTTCATAGACTTTTAGTAAATGCTGTAGCAATGTGGGCTTCACCTCGTTATGCTTGTTATATTTTCATGATGTTAGATGAACTATATAAAGCAGAACGTGAAGATATGGAAATGAAACTTCAAGCAAAAGATGAAGTCATTGAATCCAAAGACAAAAGCATACAGAAAAGAATACCACGTTCAGTACCAAAAGGAAAGGAAAAGAGTTATAGGTATATGATATATACTGAAGAGTTGGAGAAAGAAGAAGATAAAGATATGGTTATGTTGCATTTAGTCAGAAGAAACAACAAAAGCTTTTACGACTTAGCTAAAATATATAAATCTGATAGAAACTGGTTCTATCGTGAAAACTTACCGATTTCAATGACACCGAATGAGCAAATAAAGGAAATTGTCAAAAATACTCTTCCTCAAACACACTATGACATCAAAGGTTGCACAATACTTACATTCAAAGAAGACTTACCATTACTGAAGGAAAAGATAACAGAATATTTCGACAACTTCAAAGAGGAAGAATGAAAACTTACCGATTTCAATGAAAACATTAACTTTTTGACGAAGTGAAGATTTGCACTTTGTCAAAATTTAATGAAAACTTACCGATTTCAATGAAAAACATTAACTTTTTGACGAAGTGAAAGATTTGCACTTTGTCAAAATTTAATGAAAACTTACCGATTTCAATGAAAAACATTAACGTAAACATTAACGATAAAATTTATTTCTGGACTGTTGTCAAAATGTCATGTTGTCATCATTTTTAAAAGAAGTTAATTAACCTGGTAGCACATGGTGACGTGGTGACACTTTCAGTTATTCAAAAATATATTTTGCTTAAATAACTTCAGGGTCATTTCTTCAACCATTTTCACTTCCTTCGTCAATGTCAATAGAAGCTTCTTCAACCTTTGGTAAGAACTGTATGACATCTTTGTTCGTTATTGTCTTCAGAGATGAAGGATAATATTTCACATTTGTTTCACCCTTCTTATATCTTTCTGTTCGGAAAGATTCATAGCAATACTGAAGAAGTCAATGTTAGAGTTCTTTATGACAGTATAATGAGTATCTTTGACATTCACGAAGAAACTCTTTTGTTTCAAAACTACTGCTAACTCTTGTGAAGTATAACGTTTGCGGTCAATGACAATAGCTAATGGTCTGACATACTGACCGAACTTAGATTCTTTCACAAACTTCTTTGTAAAGATAACATTGACGTTTGAAGCACCATTGAACTCATTCTTGATGGCATTAGCGAGAGCATTGTATGAAAAGAACTTGCAATCTTGCATGTGTTTCATTAAAATAAAAATATTAAATTATTTTGAAAAATAACTTAAAAAAATCTAATCTAATTTTTTCAAAAATATTTTTTTTATTTCCTACTAAAGATGTATCGGAAGTTGTCTAAGTTAGAACACTCGGAAATAAAACAACTTCTTACAGAAGCTAACATAGATGTTGCAAAACATTACGCGACAAACAAAAAAGCACTCGCTGACTTCATTAAGACTATAATGGTGCAATAAGTTATGATAGAATTCATGAGTTCATAAAGCCGCAACGCGGCGAGGACGAAGTCCATGCAAGAGCATTTCCTTTAAATGACGTTGCTATTGACTTATATCATAGACGTTCAGTACCTCATGAAGTAAGAAGAGAAATGTTTGACATAACAAATGCAAACGTTGGTGAAACAAGAAGAAGAGACGACACACTGAAACAACAGAGAAGAGAGATGTTTAAAGAGCGCTATAGAACAAGTTCGCAAAGCTAACGATGTCATTCGTTCCATTGACGACAAACCAAAAGAAGGTGAGAGATGGTTAAAGAAAGATGAAGAGAATAGGAAGAGAAATGTGAAGTCAGGCAATAGACTCATTGACTTTAACATCGAAGCTTTAGATGAACCAAACAGAGACTACTTACACAAACATTTCGGTAAGGTTTTCATGAGACTCTTAGAGAAATTAAAATAAACTCACAACAGAGATGGATGGTATGTTATAAACTTGGTGGAAAGTATGAATGTTCTACGTTAAACCTCAATAATATTGGAACATTACTACATCAGCTCTTGAAGGAGAACTTTATATCAGAGATAGAAGCAAATGCGCAGGTATTGTTGAAATGCACTATGACTTCTTCTTGACAAACATAAAGAATCTTACCGAAATAAAGATGTATGATTTAACAGAATATGAAGGCTTAACGATGTCAGATGTAAAGAAAGGCAAACCAAAAAAGAGACCATATAGAGATAAAGCACACTGACAAATGACCAGAAAGCCATTTTGGAAGCTCTTAAGCAAACAGGAAACCCAGCACTTATAGAAAGCTTTTGGAAAGATAATGGTGAAAAGAAGTTTTATAAGAAGAGAAGCGGTCAGTTCTGGAAGTATCTTTGCACATTACCTATAAATCTTGAACGCTACCAAATCTTCAATGAACTGAACAAAAGAACTGCAGCAACACTTATGACAGAAGACAATTGTTTCGTTTATGCTTGCATTCAGGCTGGAGTAAATGAAGAAACTATTGACCACATGAGAGAAGTCATTCGTGTTAGAGACTTTCCTCAAAGTAAAGTACAAGAAATTTCTGACGCAACAGGTATAGCATTTAATGTTACCATTGGTTATTTCAATGACTCAAGACATAATGAAATAAAGAGAATATACCAAAAGAATGTGAAACTGTTAGAACTATTGACTTACTTCTTGTTGAAGACCACTACATGCTAAACGAAAGACTTCCAATGACAACATATTTCATTCGCAACTATAAGAAATCTTGAAGGAGTGTGGTGGAATGAACATTGAGAAACAGATGAAGATTTATACAAAGAGAGAAGATAAATATGTAGTTCATGATAGAACTACACCGCTATGGGATGTTATGAAAACATTTGGGAGTGCAAATATTTCGAACCTATTTCTTATGGAGAACTTTTCACATATACGACTGACTTATATAAACAGAACCTTGCACCATTTAAAGATTTGACATATGCTCCAAAGTATTGTGTACAACTGAAGAAGAAAGCCGAGTCAAAAGAAGTAAATAAAAATAAATGTAAGTTCATTCCTGAGCATGTTTTCTTTGCTGACTTTGAGTGTAGTACCGATGGCTTTCATAAAGCTTTTAACATCTGTTATGACAGTGAAGATGGTTCGGTGAGTGAAAGCATTTGGGGTCAGAACTGTGCAACAGAATTTTTGGAACGACTTCCTGACAAGAGTTTAATATATTTCCATAACCTCAGCTATGATATAAACTTCATCTTAAGACACATGACAGAAGTGAAAGGAACTCCCATCATTAAAGGTTCACGAACAATGCAAATAACTGGCTTATATAAAGGAAGGGCAATTATTATAAAAGACTCTTACAGTGTTATAAATAAGAAGCTTAAACTATTTCCTGCTATGTTTAACTTACAAACAGGACCGAAAGAAGTATTTCCATATAACTACTACAGCAGTACTTTGTTAGCAAATGACAACAGAACTGGTGTCATTTCTGAAGCATGTAAGTTTATCCAGGATGCAGATACATTTATGAAAAACATAGATTCCATCAAAGGTTGCAGAATAGATGAAAACCACTTCGACTTAGAAAAATATAGCACTTTTATTGCAAACAAGATGTAAGAATTTTAAGAGAAGGTTTTGTAAAGTTCCGCAATGACTTATTGAAAGAGTTTGATTTAAACGTTTATGACTACGTTAGTATTTGTTCAATTGCTAACAAATTATTTGAGAACAGAGTGTACTTCCCGAATGGAAATTTATATGACCTCTCAAATAAACCAAGAGAATTTATTTCGAGATGCATTCAAGGTGGAAGATGTATGTTGTCAGATAACATGAAACAAAAGAGCGAAAAAGAAACTCATTGCTGACTTCGACGCTGTTTCATTATATCCATCAGCTATAGCAAGACTTTATACTTTAGAAGGAATTCCAAAGGTTATGAAGGATGAGATGCTAAGCACAGAGTATCTCATGAGACATTTATTCGATGACGACCAAAAGGAACCCATTGGTGAAAAGTTTATGTCTGGCTTCTTTGTTCTCATTAAGATAACAGAGATTGGAATACATAGACACTTTCCTTTAATAGTTTGTGACCCTGAACTAAATCCAGAACTTAACGTTCCCAGAAGTTCAAACACTTGCTGTTTAATGTATGTTGACCATATAACATTACAAGACCTCATAAAATATCAAGGTGTCAAATGTGAAGTGTTGCAAGGATACTATTACGATGGAAACAGAGATATTAGAATAAGAGATGAAGTAAAGAAGTTGTTTGAGTTAAGGTTAAAGTATAAGAAAGAAGGAAATCCTTTGCAAGAAAATATAAAGCTCATTCTGAACAGTATTTATGGCAAAACTATTCTATCTCCTATTGAGTCAAAAATAACCATAGTAGATGACAAAGATGCTATAAGATATGCCATCAGAAACTACAACCATATAGTGAAGTTCGAAGGTTTGGATGGTTCAGATAAAACTATTTTCAAGCTAACGAAAAGCATTTGCAGACACTTTAACTTCTGTCCACTTGTGTGTAAATATTCTATCAATGTCGAAGAGAATAATGTGTGAAGTATTCTGTACTGCTGAAGACTTAGGAATGGACATCTTTTATAGCGATACGGACAGTATGCATCTCTACAATGAAGATATCCCTCGTTTAGCTGAAGAGTTTGAGAAACGTTATGGAAGAGTTCTCATTGGTAAAAACCTTGGTCAGTTTCATAGTGACTTCGCAGAAATAACACCTGGAAAACAAAGTTTAGCATACAAGTCAATATTTTGTGGAAAGAAGACCTACATAGACTTACTCACTAACGATTTAAATGAAGTTGCATTTCACTGCAGAATGAAAGGCGTGAAGCAAGATGTTATTGCTTTAACCGCTAATGAAATGTTTCCTGACTCTGTTCAGTGTTTCTATGATGAAGATAAAGGTTTAATGGTTCCGCAAGGAAAATTTGACAAAGACTCTGAGTTCAGTGTTATGAAGTTATATAAAGCACTTTATGACGGTCAAGAGATTGGATTTGACTTATGTAAGTCTTCTAGTCCTTGCTTTGCTGAAAAGTTTAACTTCTCAATAACGACTAAAACAAGCTTTATTCGTAAGCTGAAGTTCTGAGGTCATTTATTTTTGTCAGCAATGAGGTCATGAATGAGGTCATGAATGAGGTCATTTATTTTTGTCAGAAATGAGGTCATTCGTGATAAAAATAAAGCTAGCGTAGATTTTACAATACTGCGATGGTAGAGTTTAAGAGTTGTGCTTCAATGTAGAGACAGTCCTTATGGTCTGGAGGTAAGAACACTGGGCAGTTATGGTCATGAGTGGAGAACATGTCTATCCAAAACTCACGATTGAAGCCAGTTAATTTATAGTATTTAGGGTTAGGAAGTGGTGAAGTTCTTGTATGACCAATGAACTCATTTTCAACTCCCTTACTTAAGTTTGAATATAATATAGCTTGCTTT